GACACGCTGGAATGTATCCCCCCGCAGGCCACCCCGTTCGAGGAGGCCTTCTGAAAATTTATAACTTCAATTTTCGTAGTTAGACGCACGTGAAACGGTCTCGTCTTTACTTCGTTCTAGATACCTATGTAGAGAGTTGTGGGTATAACGTTTGTCTTGACGATTTGTCTAAATGAAAAAGAAATACGCTATAAAATGTTTAGTGAGGGAATTTGAAATAAAAGAAAAAAAATGACAGTATATTCATAAAAGTATGGACAAAAATTAAATAAGAGAATTAAAAAAAAAAATATTACTAGTATTAATTTGCACCACGGAGCTACCTTTTATTAACACAATGTAATTACCCACTGGTTTTGCAACTGCTGGGTGCACTCTATTGTGACTCTCAGGAAATCGAGTGACTCAGAGAGTCAGACCTGTCCGCTCCTCCTGAGGGAGAGGAGCGCGAGGTGAATCAACAACCTTTTTTTGAGCGTAATAATAAAGGACACGCGCGCACGCGCGCGCGCTCTCTCATTGTTGTCGCTTCGCGCGCGACGGCCACGCGCGCAGAGCGCGCGCGAGCAGCGAGCGTGTGCAGGTGTGTTATTACCCGAAGCAAAGGTGTTGTGTGTCTCGGTCGAAAAGTACTTTGTAAGTCTCTAAGGGTATGCATAATATCATGACCAATATATAATAAAAACTTAGTAGTGAAAGTTTACTACTAAAATAAATAAAAATTATTAGTAAAAAGGGGACCAGAGAACGCGACAAATAAATGCTACTATTTCAAATAATATTCAACTAGATTCCCACGTCGACATTTAGAGTATTATGTTGTAGGAAGATACATTACCTAATGTAGACTTGGATATGCATGAAAACCGTAAGTTTAACTGTATACCTAGTTCCGATATGTATGCGTCAGGTGTGTTAGAACTTGTCACCTATCGGGGGGGGAACCAGCATACGGGGTGGGTGAAAACTTTTGGCTAGGAAGAAAATTGCTAGAATGGTTCCTTAGTCGAGTTGCTTATCACAGGTGGGTGTGACAACCCTTTCAATTGGCTTTTACCTTTCAACATTGTTTGTATATAATTGTTACTTCAAACAATCTGTGTTTGACTGTCCGGAATACTACACACCTGAGTCTTACTCTTTATACTTGCCGAATTGTGACCCAGTAATCCACTTAATGTGTGTACATATCACGTCCCACCCTTATCTACACGCAACACTCCACTGCCACCTCCTTCTCTCTTACACACAACCGGTGACGCCCCAAAGAGGTCTCGTGAGCAAATCGGCACGTCGTTTCAGCACATCACACGTCTGTAAACGTCTGTGAACCAAAATTAGGAGGTGAAAAGAAGAAGCTAATAAGATCACAGCCAAACATTAGGTCCAAAGTCGGGTGGAAGGTAACTGGAAATACAGAAAAACTGTAACTATTCCACGACTAATTTATCCTAGTAACCCAGTGATCGATTCCGATGTAGATAATGACGCCCAACCTTAAAACTGTTTTTTTACCTAAAAACATTTCACTTTAATTTACGTGATCCAGTAGAAAATAAACACAAAAATACATCACATTGTAACGACTATCCGAATACCTGGCCAAACCTACATAACCAGAACTACCGTTACCGAACTACTTATGTGGTATCAGAAGACTCCTCTCAAATACTATGAACAAAATTAAAACTAAGAATTAGTTGTGACGCTACATTAACATATCAAAGTACTACGCCAGTGGTCAGACATTCGAATACTACTATCTCCTCCACGTTCTTCAAGAATTAGTTGCTACATAATTAAAGTCTCATAGAAGGAGGGACTGGGTGACGCAGACATTTCCCTACCTTTCTTCGATCCGATCTAAATAACTTACACGGGTGTAGACTGAGGTCGACTCTCTATGACCTGTAAGGAGCGGTCCACATCCACAACTATAAAAATAGCACTCAACCCCTGCTTACACCTATATGCCGTGAGCTGATTATCGAGCCTTCATTGTAACAGTCGCGGGTACACTGTGTATTTGCGTGGGGATTGTTGCAATAGAAAATTCCACTGTAGCGACCGGTACATTAATGGGAAACCCTAAATGTTTGAGCACCCTCTATTAAACGTCAAGCTACCCCACAGCACCCCAAAATAAATCTCTGGCGCCGCCACTGAGCCTGACTATTTGTGTTGGGGGGGCCCGACTTTTTTTTTCCTCCAAAGGGGGGGCCTGACAGAAAAAGTTTGAGAACGACTGGGTTAAAGTAACATGTCTGATTGCAGTGAGCTTATAGATACTGCGGTGACACTGCTGCTGCATGATGCATAACATGCAGGGAAGAATCAGGAGGGAAGCAATGTTATGGGACCTCCTCACCCACTGGTACCTCCATATCTGTGTCTCTCTGCGGTTTGATGCAGTGATTCACCAGCCACTGATCATACAGTAGGGCACATTTCTTCATCAACAGTCATGAGGTGCATTGCACTGACCGTGGTTGAAGGTGGGCATGTAGAATATGAGGCTGATCCACATGCCCACTAGGACTGTAATTTATAAAGGGAACCTTGCCCGCAGGTGTGCATGCACAATGTTTATAAATCGGATTATTTTTGGCTATGGTGTACACTCAGTACACTCAGTATGGACCCTACGCACTGCTACAAATGACAGTTCCCTTGATTTGAGCTCTTACTCTTTTATAAGTGTGCAATGTCCAGCAGAGATGCATATAATTATATTTTCAGGTACTTATGTTACATGGATGGCATTTACAGAAAATTGCTATGACCGCAGGCAGTATTTGAATGTTTATATAAGTAGATAGACTGAAATTAGATGTATAGTAAGGAATGGATTAGAGCATGTCAGGGAATTCATTTATTTTTAAGTTGTCTAGAATCACTGCAGTTTATTGTCTCAGTCACTGCATGTATCTCATGTGGACACTATGTATGCCTCTGAAGCAACTAAAGCTCAGTGTGGAACTTTATTTGGGAAGCAAACTGACATACAGTATTGCCTTTGAGAAGACGCCAGTTTCTTTTTAAACTACAGCATACTGTCTGCCTTAGGAGAGCAGTTTTGGAGGATGCTGTAGTGAGTGTGGGTATACAGGATTTCTATAACGGGCCTCAACGGACTGCAGCAATGACCCAAAGGGAAACCATTTTAAACAGATGGTTTATTGTCTGGTTCTGTGCCAATCTCTGTTGCCTTTTACTTCCCCTTGTACTGAGCATTTAGAGCATTCATTTGAAGCTAAAAACTGTAGAAAATAAATGGGTGGTTCGAACCAACGACACACTGGAAATAAGATACAAACATAAAACCAGCTACAGGACAAAATAGAGGATTGCGGTGATTAAGACCAAATACTTAAGAATCCAAAAGCTTCTATGAGCAGTAGACTAGAACATCACTAAATATAAAAAACAGAAATACTTAATGGTGTGTTCAAAAGGGAAGCAACATGCCTTAATCACACAAACACAAATGCTTGCCAACAGGCAGTCAGTAGAACCAAGCTTGCAAATATGAAAAGCAACAGGAAAAGTAAAAAGGGAGCTTGACTGGAGCTGGGTTTACACAAAGCATCAGGGAATGCACTTTACAAGGGCAGCAGTGGCAAAGAGGAAAGGGCTGACTGTGAGACATGGCACTGAAGTGATTCTCAGCAGGAGGAAGCTCTGGTGGTGGGGGGGGGGGGGTAGCGCAGAAGGGAAAGAGCCCACAGAGAGACACAGTTACACAGAGCTTCCAGGAAAGAGGAGGGTGTTTTGGAAGTGAAGCGCTGACGTGACTGAAGTTGGGTATGATGCTTGTGGACTGACACAGTTGACAGTGAGGACAGACTTAGTGACGACAATGTTTTTTCATGCTTTTGTATACTGGCTGTTAGTGTGAGTGGGAACTGATCTTTACTCAAAGCCATGTTGGTGTGCCTCTGTTTCGTCCCCATCCTCCCATTTCATCATGGAAATTATTGAGTTGGCTTCTCCACTCTTGCTTTTCCCACAGCTGCACTTTTTTACTGCCTCTATATACTTTACTGAAAGAAAACGAGTGACAATAGGTCTCCCATAGCTGCCTGTTAGTAAGGAAATGTGTAGGTAAGCGGTAAATAACAAGATAGCAGTAAAACAAATATGTGGAGGAGACAGACAATGCAGTAACTTAAAATCCATCTAACCTTAGAGAGACTAATAACAAGGAGGAAAATTACTTTGACATTAAAAGAGACAAATGGAAAGTGCCTAAGATGTAAATAACAGTCAGGAAATTAGTCACAAAGGACTGTTATTAAATATCTGCAGAGGAGCTCCTTGTATTACCTGCAAATCAGCACCCGTTTTCATTTAGACTATGTTTTGAATGGGGGACTTAGTAAATCAGTCATTCCATTGGGGACAGCTAAACCTCTTCAATTTTAGACAACGGTACATTTTCAGAATGCTGCTTTGCAAATATGCTCCTAAGTGAATACCAAACTGAGAGTTGGTTGTATTAGTCCCTAAATGGAAAATGATGTGGGTCCTCTGGCTGGTGGCAACTAGAGGACTTTAAAAATGACCACTGGGGGATACCATCTAGAAATCTACAGAAGCAGTTACAAAGACTGAACATTTCAAGAAATCCAGAGAAATCAAAACAAATCCAGTGACTCACTAACCTAACACTATCTCTTTGTCCAACTGTGCCACCCAGCCCAGCTGTCGCTCTTACTTATTACAGCTCTATGCAGCTGCTGCAGGTGGTGGCTGATGGACACATAGAAACAAACTGACAGGACGGAAGGCAGACAAGCCGTCTCTCCTCATACCTGTGTACTCCAAGTGGTAGCCAGCGGCGGACACACTGATGTCGGACTGGAAGGTCAAGTACAGATTGTTGGACGTGCTGTTCAGCAGTTGGGGAATAGTTGTACCTTTACACCACAAAATACAGATGACAGTTCAAATTCAGATTCATCACCTTCAAAAACACAGTAAGACAGTTTTGTGAAATCATTCTCTATTATTTCACCAGAGGTAAATGCTGGTAGACATAAAACCGTCTTTCAGCAGCAGCAATTTAACCTACATAACCTCGCTAAATGAGTGATGCGGAGTTAATTAGCAGGTACAAATCAAGTGAAAGGATGCCTCACATAATAAAATCAATCACAGGAAAAATAAAATAACAGTCCATTCCAAAGAAAATCTAAATGCAATGCATTTTGGATAATCTGTCATTCATGCCAGGCCTTGTGGGTTGACCAGATCAAATAATTACAAAAGTCTAAATTGTGAATATTGTTACATGAAGGAACAATGATCGCTCAACTAAATGGATAACACATGCTGCCTGATTTACACACTTTAAGGTGTTAACATGTCCCAACAATTGTTTTGGATCTTCAATCAAAGAAGCCAGGCTACCAAAATGTAACAGAAGTATTACCTATAATTCAGACCGTAACATTTGCTAAGCAGTATTCTGGGATCTATCTATATATTCTAGTCGTAGGACTTCTGCAATTTGCATGGAGAGTTTTACATATCATTCATAATCACACTCATCAGTTTGGCCCCATTTAAAATGCCTTAACTTTTCACATTGCACGCTGTCCCTCACAGTGGGGGCTGTAATGTGGAGTTATTAGAATATGTAAAGAGTTTTGCTCCAAAATGAGATATCCACCATTTGAATCCTGGTCTCATGAAGCTGAGATATAGAGGCAGAATTGATTGTGCTCAACCAGTCTCTCTGATACGAAGATCAGGCATCTACATTGATGTGACGCCCTGTTTCTAGTAGGTTAACAGGTTGCAAGAGCACCATTTTCATTAGCACGAGCCCTGAGGCAACACTGCATTTGTAAAACTTCTGGCTATGCAGGGGAGACATTATGAAGATCTCCAATTCAAGATTCAAAGAGACAGGAGTATTGTGTGAAGGGAGAGGGACATTTTTTATTCCTTGACTTCTTTAACTGGTTTTTAGACAGCATTCTTAAAGGACATGCCAAATGTCATCAGATCAATCACCACATCTGTCTGCTGCTGGGTCCCCGTAACATCTGATTGAAATTCAAGAGGAAGACGACACCTAAAATTCAGTTGGATCCGTTTTACCTGAGTAGCTACCAAGCCTTCGAGCGTTGCCATCCACCCCGTCAAAAAAATCCAGCGAATCCCAATTATGTTCTGTGGCGAAGGTCACAACTTGAATCTAAAAGACAAAATATACCGTAATTCAAACGCAGAAGAATACATACATAATATAAATAAAAAGCTGGATAGCAGCTTTTGTTTCCCCTTTTAAAAATCTAAAAAAGTCAGACGATGGATACAAAAAAGAATAATCTAAAACAAAACATATTTTAAACTCTTATCACACGTTATTCTGCATGTGGTCCCTCTTACTTGGATGCCGGCTCCCTCTGGAACAGAGATCTTCCAGGCACAGTTCAGATAGTTGGCGTACGGCTCAGGGTATCCAGGAGAGAGGATAGTGCCTCTGCGCTCACTTAACACCCCGCCACAAGGAACTACACATAGGTATAATGGATAAAGAAAGAGAGAAAGTCAGTTCAGGGTGAAGTCTGCACAGAGGGGTCATCTTAAAAATCATCATGCCACCTGCCAATACATGGCTTTTAAATTAGCGCCTGTAAAATGCCCTTATAAAAATATAATTACCGGGAGTTTTGAGAAAGGTTCTACTTGGTAAAAAATGTAAAACAGCTTCATTTTTGTTTTAAAACCAGATCCTCTTCCACATGACATTATTGTTATTTAATACCTCAGTGGAGGTTTGCATGGAAGCACACTCGCCTCTCGCTCCTTGCAGACATAAACAGTTCAACCCTGATGTTATTTTATCTCTCGCAAGCCACACAAATCCTATCTTACAATTGTGAAAGCTATTCCTCTCAAAGCGCACCTTGTTTCCACACTACCAGGGCCACAGGTAACATATTTATCACACCTCTTGGCTCTCGGTGAATGTTGAATTGGAGTCAGTGGCCAGGCTGTGCTGACATTTTCAGGCACTGTGATATATTTGAGCAGGGTAGAAATCAAAATGAAAAAAGGGCCATAACAGTAACAATTTCTTCATTGCTCTTCCGACAGTGCCAATTGGCCTTGTATCCGAGCAGCTACTTTCCTCAGTGTTTGGCTCCACTTTTTTTCCATTAGGGATTGTGGGAACCCAGTCTTGCAAACCCACGTTCTTAGGATTATTGCACAAATTACACCTATAGAAATGTATTTCTAAAAGAAACAACCATTAGTAGCTGGTGACATTTTGCTCAGCAACATATTTTACAGTATCACTAGAAGAGATTTCTTATCTAGTGTTTTCTCTGGTCTTTCTTGTCGTTGCTTTGCTTCAATCAGCAGATTAAATGCGTTTGTCAGACATATTTTAAGCCATCATATGTATTTCTACAATAATGACCAATACTGTATACTATAAAAGGTGTGGTATTTAACCATTTCCAAGCATAGGTACTAAAATGCTTCCACCTCCCACTCCTAATGCAGGCCAAGTGCTATTCAGATTGAACTGCAGGTTAAAGAATCCACCTAGCATTCGCTGTAATAGTTTCCCTTTAGAAACCTGAGCAAAGCTGTTAAAAAAGGGTAAATTAGGTCCTTCAATTGGTCACAGAGTAGTACAATATGTTCTAACAATGACAAACCAGTTGCTTTTTGTCAGGGACAAGGGTTTACATTACATTACATGTCACTTGTTAGACGCTTTTATACAAAGCCACTTACATACTCAATACTGTGGGCAATCCCCACAGGAGCAATTTGGGGTGAAGTGTCTTGCCCAGGGACACAAGATCCCCTGATCCGAACACCAGCGCACTAGTCCACTGTGCCACACGTTTACCCTGAACATTTCAATGATAATCATTCTTTTCAATTTCAACGGAAAATGGGATAGTTTCGATGCCAAAGACCATAGGAGTCACAGAAAATGAGAGCAAAATGTAATGTGCTACAGGAAAACGTGACTGTCGGACAAGGTAGGAACAAATAAAAACGTGTTCAGCAATCAGCTTCCGACAATGTCAAACTCATCAATATTTTACAGGTTATATCTCCATGATAGAATCGTTTCAAAGTGACTACACTGTTCCTTTTGCTCCGAGTGACACATTAGAGAAGATGACTTTGTACTGTGCCTCACAGCAATCACACAGCAGAGCAATCACACTTTCCTACAACCATGGCCACAGTGTGATGTCATCTTCAGCTAATCATCTAAGAGACCAATGAGAACAGCATGTTTAATTGTTTTGAATTCAGCTCTGCAAATGAGACCTGAAGGTCAATGCCAATGAATATCTAGAGCAGGGGTTCCCAAACTTTTCAGCCCGCGACCCCCAAAATAACAGTGCCAGAGACTGGCGACCCCTGTCAACGGGGTAGGAGGTTAATTAATGTAAAATGTCCGCACTCTCGCGGGAATATCTCCGCATTGGAACAAGCATAAGTTTCACTTTCGATTGCATGATATAGCCCAGCGCAACACCTTCATCACACATGTTGCCACTTGTTTGTACCATTTTCCGACAATTTGTAATCTGTTCTAGAAAAACGATGTGTTTTTTAGGATTTTAAGAAGCATATAGAACAAACAATGGATGTATTTTATGAACATTTATCCATGCTGAAAGTAGATTTAGATGTGTTAGGAGTGAGATAGAGATTATTATCTAATATATATGCATCCAATGAAGCATTGCATGAAGTCTGTTGATGATCAGAGGCTGTTGTTGGGGCTGCATAAAGTTTTTTTAATTTTAGTTTTGTAGGCAGAGCATGCAGGCCTCAGAGAGTTGAACTTGGGCCTGCGACCATAGTTTTACTGTATTTTGTTTTGAAATCCACGGCGGAGGTTTGTGTCGTACAATGCGGTGTATTTTGCATATCTCTCAGTAGCCAACGATCTGTGAGTCTGTTGGCTTGGACATAGACTCCGTAATAAATGTAGTCTACATTTCATAAGAGGTGTAAAACCTGAGAGCATTTTAAATCGCATTTGAACTAAATGGTTATATAATCTGAATTTGTATTTGATTTATTGTGTGAACGAGGCGATGTAGAGAAGGTTAAGCTGTCATTATTAGGCTGTAATTTGTTATACTGTTGGAATGGTAAGCAGGCCTATTGTTTTTGGATATTTGTGGAGTTAGGTGGTCCGTGACTGTTTTTTTATTGGTTAAGTGTCCTTGGTATGAAAAAGTTTGAGAAACACTGCGCTAGTGGATTGTCAAAGGGGGAGGCTCGATGCGGGGAAATTATACAGATGGCTAGTCCGCCCCTGAAAATGTTCTATGCACACGTTATTATTAATAATAATAAATACAAAAATTGATAAAAGAAATTGATAAGAAAAATTAAATTTTCGATTTTTATTTTGTAATCATCTCGCAACCCCCACTTGGGTTGCTTCGAACCTTCATTTCAGAAAGAAAACGACTGAATTTAAGAATAATAAATATACTCCTCTTCTGTTTTGTACTTATTTATACGGCTTGAATTATTCTAGCGTGAGAACAGGATCTTGACAACAGGAAACAGACTCATTCCACAGAGAGACTCAGTATTTTAAAATCATGTAACAGCTCCTTCGAGTCCCCTGAGCTGTCAGTTAATGTAATTGGTCGAGCAAGATTAGAAATCATGACACTCATAAAAGCGTGGAATGCTCCACACCCATCTCAATCTGCGGCAGGCTCATATGTCAGAGTTACTGCAGGTAGACAAGCGTGGGGAGCACACACATTAGGAGACACTATTTAACACCATCTGATAGGCAGAAACTTTTAATTAGAAGTGTTTTAATCAAGAAATCAAAAACGAATCCGCACATTGTGTGTGTACGACATAAGTGTTTTACATCTCATGCACTTATTATGCAATATTTTAGGTATATATTCTTAATGGCTTGCAATACTTGTTTGGTTTTGGGAACCATGCATCTTACAAATGTTATATATAGATACAAGATTAAACTCATATGCCAAATATGCAGTCAAAAACTGTCTTTTGTTAATCTTATTATCTTGTTTACAGTATATCAATGTTTCCCGTTATCTTACCTCTTTCTTAATTATAAGCTGTAGAGTTTAACAGTTTATTCTAAATGCAAACTTAAAGCTTTCTTTGANTTGAACACCCTACTAGTATACTTTTTCATGATATTCTAATATTTAGAGATAGGATATTTGAGTTTTCTTAAGCTGTATGCCATAATCAGCAATATTAAAATAATAAAAGGCTTGCAATATTTCAGTTGATTTGTAATGAATCCAGAATGTATGTACATTTTGTTTTTTTAATTGCATTACAGAAAATAAAGAACTTTATCACAATATTCTAATTTTCTGAGACAGTCCTGTATATACAAGATTAAACTCATATGCCAAATATGCAGTCAAAAACTGTCTTTTGTTAATCTTATTATCTTGTTTACAGTATATCAATGTTTCCCGTTATCTTACCTCTTTCTTAATTATAAGCTGTAGAGTTTAACAGTTTATTCTAAATGCAAACTTAAAGCTTTCTTTGAATCATTAAGCATCAAAGCAAACACCCCTGCCAAAGTGTCAAAGTTAGTTTGCTTCAAGACAGACAAGCAAGACCTTTGACAAAGTCAACTATCCCAAGATAGTTTAGGACGTCTAATTTCAATTTAACGTGGAGAAAATGTGACTGCTCCCTTTCTCAGGGTAAAAGTATGTTTTGGTTAGTTCTTAAAGAATGACCAATATAAGCCAGTATGTCAAACCTATTATGGATAAGTGAGCAAAATGGATATGATAAGGTATGATGACAAAATGTTTTATATATTTACAAAACACAAATTTCCTTTTGTATGATGTTGTAAGGTTTTAGAGAGATGGGTGGTGGAAAGTTTATTTTTTATTATTTTAAATCCAATTTGTTGTTCTAGAATTTGTATTGCTTACTTCCTTAATAAAATAAACATGAGTGCTATAAATACACTTTTCACACTGGCAATAATTTCCACTTTTAATACAGAAGCTAAAACTCCTAAAAGCATCATGACCTAGACAGGTTGCTACAAAGAGGCACTCTGGCCTGGCCTTAACACACACCCCCAGACTGAGACACTTTAATTGGTCTTTGGAGGCCATTTCAAAACAAGAATCAACTGTTTAAAATAAGCCCAGTGTGAGCTGTTTACGTGTTGCCACCTTCGGAAAAGTGTTTAAGCCAACAGAGAAATCAATTATGTGGACACACTCGCTATGAATCATGACTATCTGTGCAGTCGTGATGTTCTGTAGTGATTTAGTTTGTGTAACATTCAGCTACTTTGCACTCATCAATGCTCATCTGCTGTATCAGTATTTACCATTGCATTGCTTTAAGTGTAGCCTATAAAATATCCTTATTCTTTCCCATCATCTGTTGGTGACATATGCAGATGTTTAAAGAGTTTGCATCCTACACCTGAACCTGAAAAAATAAGAAATCACCTAATTTAATTCAATATTCAGAACTCACGGTAACTAATCATACTCCACCGGGAAAGAAACAAACATCAATTTATTCAAATCAACTTTCTTCGTTAAGATTTAACAGAGGCCACACAAACGCATCCATTCAGGCGCAGCTAATTAAATCACGATAGAGCTTTGTGTTAACACAAATAAATAAAAAAACCTTAGCGCACTAGCCTTGTATTTGTGAAATCGAGAGCGAAACAAGTGTCGCCTGAGGATCCGGGTCAATCAGAGCTGGAGAAGGAGCTGAAAAGATATCTTCTATAACACAGGTGCCTCACAGGAGAACAGTGTCTTATGCCTTCATATCCCATAAAGAGGGCTTAAGTACAGTAATTGAGCATAGTGTTTTCGTGAAGATTTCATGAAACTATATCCATTATTCTGGACGAGTACACTGCCGCTGGGGGTGATGCTACAGCCAGATCCAATCTCAAGATAAAAATCACTGTGTTTAAAATGGAACCGCGCGTGCCACTGCTATTCCCTCAACACTTGGCAGTAAACTCGGATGAACCCTGGATTGAAATCTTCTGAACTCACCGACTAGGACTATTTGCTGGCTGGCACAAGGCCTGACTTCAATAGGTTTTTCCTACTTCAGCTGCAGTTCTTTATGTTCCCATGAGACATGTGGGAGTCTCTGGGAGACCGAGTGCACGGTCCTTTGCATGTTCGGATAACAGCATGTGCAGACAAGGCACGTAAATCTGTTCATGTGTATGGATGTGTGCATATGTATGCCGGTACATTTAAGTGTACATGGTTCTGTATATGCTAGCCAAAAAGCCATGCAGAGAGATACCGGTCCATTCAGTAGACGGTCCACACCTTGCACGGACCATCCAGTGCTACTGGATCATGAATTATTCCCTGTACCTTTTGTGTATGTTAAAAATAAAAACGCCGTCTGGTTCCTGTGTACTTGGCATTTTGTATGTAAAACAATCTCATCACTGATATATATGTGTGCCACTGTTGCACCATTGCTCTCTGTTAATGAGTGCGGAGAGATGTGTAACTGTATCTCAATGTATTGTGCATAATCCAGATTCGTAAAAATCAAATGTTGAAAAAGGCAGTTTTTTCAACTCATGAAACAAAACATTTCAAACATTATGCATTATTATCCGTGTACACATTTACAGATGTGTGTACTCATTTATACTAGTACGGTAGATACAATAGTACCCAGTAAGTTCAGGGAAATATTAGCATTAATTTGTGTTCCTAACAACTCCTTGTGAAAATATATCTCTGTTCACAAGCAACTATAGTAGCTAACTTTTTCTGTTTTTTAATGAGTAGGTAGTGAACCATTTAAAAAAAAAAAGTGTTTTCACTGAAAACAACTGGCTGCTATTGTGATAAACAATTCTGAGAGCCATGGGAGCGCATCATTACGGACAAGTTAAGGACAATGAGCAAAACAATGAGCTGAAACTAGCTATACAAATCAGTCAAATCAAGGGGAGCTGAAGATAGAGCGAAGTAGTTTGCTGAGCTTCATAAAGTCAGGATTTATCGCAGGGTATTGTTTGTATCTGATAAACTAGTGACTCAGTGTATTAATGCATAATGCATGCACACAATGCCTGTATAATGCATCATGAAAGTAAACCTTTATGACGTGTTATATTATCTGATCACATTGATTATTTGTTTTGCAGTTACTAATGTTTTGACCACCTTGATTAACATATGGAATTCCAGTTTATTAGAAACACCTTCTATTGCAGGTCTGTTTTATTGAATTGCATTACATAATAAATTGTTAACTGAGTTTATGCAGTGCATAGGGAGATGTGGGCTACTTAGAAAAAGAACCCGAGAGTGTTGAGTGTTGGACATATTCACTCTATGCCAGTTATTTTCCCATTTGTCTGGAGAGGTACCGGAACAGAAATCCCTTGTCTGAAAAGAAAATTGATGTTACACTTTGTTGTTCTGTTTGTCCTTGTGTTTTGCTTGTTGTCTGAACTGTCTGGCCATAGATTGGCATTAGGATTTATAATGAGTAGAAAAAACAGACACCAACTTGTCAGACACCTGCTGCATCTTATTGAATCTGTGTGTCAGTGTTTGAGTGTGTGCATGCAGGGGGTGCGGCGAGTGTTTGGAGGATGAGGAAGCTTACCGACACATGTGGGCACAGTGCCGTTCCACTGGGCCAGGGCACTGGGCACGGCCTCACACCTGATGGCGTTGGAACCGTGCAGCGTGTAGCCTGGATTGCATTCAAACAGCACCACCATACCGATGCCAAAGTCGTTCCCTATCCGCTTTCCAAACCGGGGCTCAGGGACCGAGCTACACTGAGACGCGCTTGTCCTGGGGACAGCTACAGAAGAGGGGAGGAAGTGAGTATGAGAGAAAGAAAGACAAAGAGAGGTGGGTGGGCGTGGTAGGGAGAAAGGCAACAGGAGAATGAGAGATGGCAAGACAAAGCAGGCAGGGAGGAATCTTGAAGCCCTTGTGAATATCCTTGCACGTCATTAGTCTCTCCCGTGGTCGTGCCAGGATGGGATGTTTGACTCCATATCATCCTGCTCTGCTCAGCCATGCCTAGCCGCAGCCAATGGCACTCTGCTGCAAAGCCCTTTCGGTGATGAGTGCAAGGCTAAAGTATCTTTCTTTTCCAAAAGCAAGCAAACACACTCAATGCACCAAATAAGATTCCCCATCAGAATTCTGCAAACGTATAAGAAAAAGCAGCCTTACCTTGGTAGACAAAGTGAAATCCTTTGGCTGTTTCTGTTCCATTTGTGGTAAACTTGAGTGTAATCTTGTTTCCTGAACTCAAAGGGAGCGTCTCTCCTAAAATACAGAATCAAAAGAAGTATTATCGACTCTTTAAGAAGAAGCTGTCAACAGATAATAGTTGCACTCACTTACACATAATGGACAATTTATAAACACAAGCTCTGCATGACCTCATTAACTGTTAAATTAATCAGGGCAAAAGAGTGAGAATATTGATTCAGTTATGTGTAACATGTCAGTATGATTTAGTTTTGAGTCTAATCTGATCTACAATATATCTTCAATGTTATTGCTAGAATTGACTGACCTGATTATTTTTCTTTTTTTACTGTGTCACAGTGTAATCAAGAAGAATATGACAATAAATTACAGCAGCTGGTTTTCCTTTTGTTATTTTGTATTGGGATCCTAGTAGTTAATTCTGTTGTAATCACAATGTATTATGTATCATCATTGTTTCATTATCATCATCATCATAACAGAAATGTAGGAAGGGAAACAAATTGTTATACTCGGCATCATTAAGCTGGTAGAATTTTTGATTTGTCTGAAAAAAAGTGTAATTTGATTAGAATTGAGCTGAGGGAAGAATGTGCTTTCTTGCCTGCAGAACAAAATTCTGTTCTTGACAGAACTACTCAGACTTATGAGTCAAAAACAACATGGCATTACCAGGGCATTACGCTTAAGGGTTCCAAAGGTAGGGCTGCTCAATTAATCGTATTTTAATCGCAATTACGATATTGGCTTGCAACGATTATGAAAACAACACAATCAAAATAAAACGATTATTTATTTGGAATTTTTTTTGGGTTTTTCAGTTGAATTATACTTTAAGTTCAGGGTAATCAACTGTTAAAAACATACTGTTCAAATGTTTCGTTTCAATAAATGGATGTTTTCCAAGTAAATGGATAATCGTTTTTAATACTCGTGATATCAATTATTGACCCAAATAATCGAGATAACGATTTTTGCCATAATCAAGCAGCCCTATCCAAAGGTATGTTTTTTTTTACCTGAGTGTGACCCATGTATAGAGGAAAGGAGGGCTGAATCTGGGGAGGATCCATCGTAGATCTCGACCACATCACTGTTCAAAGTCTGGAATACCACAAACTGCCCAAACAGCACTGCAAAGAACGAAGGGGATAGAAAACATGAATGTGGTAAACAAAAATGACAAGTCGAAATGCAGCCCATTCACTGGGGCTTGTATTCTCCCTGATAGGAAATGATCAGGGAAGCTGGTGATAATAAATGTTTTATCGTTTCCAATAATCTTTCAAGAGTCTGGCTGCTGCTTTGAATAGTTGACATGTTGAACCAGGCAGTAACACAGAGGTTAATGCTGTTTTGACTGGAATACTTCCTTTCGCTTAAGGGTCATGTATCCGAGCTAATTTGCATGCGCCTCTCCCCAGATGGGCACCATGAACAGATTTCAACCCAACAAATTAGTCATAACACTTAGACTTTAAATAGGCTAAAACTTGATTAAAAAAATTCATGAAGTGCAGGAGTGGCCAACACGCGGCTCTCGAGCCGAATGCGGTTCTTTGCCCAGTCTCAGTTCATATCGAATTTTTGCGCATATGTATCCCAGTTCACAAAGGCTTACAACAAACAAGTTCCAGCCCAATTGTTGCACAGAGTTTTCAACAAAGACGTGCTTCAGCCAATCAGAATGCAGATCCTGCAGTACTGGAGGCGGGCATTACTGCACTCGCGATAGTGAAGGGAGAGATCTGCTTCCGATCGGCAGAAATATAACTCGGATAAAACCGTAATAACTCAATATAAATGTTGTCAAAACAAAACGGTAACAATTTGCAGTTGTGTATGTGAGAAGGCCTGCTCCCGGAAAACTGGCAACTGACACAGAAGGACTCCCGAATTTGGTGATTCGCGGTAAAGAAATAAACAAGAGAGAGAGAGTGCATCTCTGTCAGCAGAGCTTCTGTCAGTCAGAGGGTACAAGTTGAGATGTCATGTGAGGAGAATTAACTAAAATACACTTCAATTATTTACATTTTTAAACAACCGTCATGAATCTGTGTGTGAGATACAGACAGAGAGAAACAAGTCCAGACCATTTTTATTAAATTATTAACAAAAATCGCAAATATGCCCTTTCATGCATTTGAGCCCCTTCCACATCCTCTGCACGTTTCAAAGAAGCAACATGCATAGTATGATAACAACTTTTTTCAAATGTTTTGAACTGAGAGTTTGTGTGTGAGACACAATATCAATGGTTGACTATAACTGGCCTCTGGTCTTAATACTGGTAGGAGAGGTTTAAGTCCATTTCTGTCAACATCATTGGACTGTGACATTTATAGGAAATCTGGCTGAGCAGAGGTATGTGTTTCTGTGAGAGGGTGTGTGTGTCTATGGGAGGGTGTGTCTTTGAGTTTGTCTATGGGAGGGTGTGTCTGTGTGTCAATTATTGTACATTTTTAGATTTTCATGTTGTATGTTTGAGAAATAGAGAGGGGCACATAGAGGAAGAAAGTGAGGGAGAACACAGAAAGGCTGAGAGCAAAAGAGAGAGAGAGAGGTCGGGGGACATACACCCAGCATGTGTGCCTGTGTGTATGATGTGGCTCTTTGCAGTAACACATTCAAATGATTGGCTCTTTACATCTGACTGGTTGGCCACCCCTGTATTAGTGCAAATCCATTCAAGGAATTATAGTTACAAAAGAAAATTGGCATATGTTGGGACACTAAACAATAAGGCAGTGCAGTAGTTTCTGTGATTTGAAAGAACATATACAAGAAGTATAACATATAATATACATTTTATGACTGTTATTTGCATGTGTGAGGCAGTTAGATAATCTGGGGTTCAGATACTGTATACGGGGGATAAGGGGAAATTAATTACATTTTTGTATCCTTTTAGAGAAATCTTGTCCACCAATTAATCAGGTAGGGTACCTAATGTCACCGCTCTTGTGATTAAAATGTATATTAAAAAAATCATATTTTTGCGAAAATAATATTGTAATATTTACCTCCTACAACAGATGTCAAATAAATGTTAGTATAGAATAGTTCCAATATAACCAGCAGGTTATTTCTTTGATTTTGTAAACCTGTTTATCCATATGTCATAACACCAAGCTTTGTCCTCAAAATGTCCAAATAAATTCACTTAAATGAGAAATAATCCAAGAGTCCAGTAAGTAATCAACAGCTACAATACATACAGTATCTGGTGCTTCCAGGACAGTATATTTTTTATAGGTCACCATTTCCTCAAGCAAAGTATTATTTGCTCACCTGCTGCAAACCATGATGTGACATTATCTTAACAACCAATAATATGGTAGTCCCTTGAACGTTGTACCCATCATTTGTATGCCATGGCATTTAACATGTGGAGAATAACCTTTACAGAAAACAACGGTGCAACACAGAGTCAAACTGAAGTCATATTTGGTCATCCCTCTTTGCAATCATAGATAATTTTGGCATTATATTAAAAATAAATATGGAAAGAAAGTCTTTAGTCTTCTCAGAAATGCTCCATTTCCTTTCAGCTGCTTGAGGGAACTTTTAGTGAGTGGTTGATTGACAGCAGCTGTGAGGCTGAGCCCCAGCAGGAGAACTAAAAGAAAAGTAAACAATCTTGTGCTGTAGCTTCCGTATCATGGGAATACATTGGGTTGTTTTGGGTATTGAAGGGTAAGAACCACACCAGCATCTAAGGTAACATTTGCAGGGCGCTTTACAATGTGCAGCATGTAATTAGCTATAGCATGCAAATGAAAGTTGCCAATGCAAGTTTCTTCTTCTTTGCTTGGGAGTTTGTTGAACAAGCTAAGGCTTGGGACAAGACGTTCCTAAACCTAATCTCTGTTAGTTTTCCAAACAAAAGCAATAAGATTGTCTGCTGGGCAAAACTAGGGGGCACAACAACAAATATCAACTACAAAACACCTTCCTTTTTGGTGTTATTCTTTTCTTCAGAAGAACAGAGGAAAATGATTTCCACAGTACTCATGTTACTAGGTACAGCCATCAAGCCAATAACGTCATGGTGTGTGAACTGCACAAAGAGGGCATCTGGACAATGTCTTTGTAGAGTCTGACCTTTAATTCAAATAAACTTCTATAATTTATGTTATGTGAGAACATCATCATTTATCACAAAGGAAATAATTCATTCTTATCTTCATTTAACTAACTAACAGCGAATTTATGATAATTAATCTGGAAGGATCTCAATTATTTCCTGCATGAATATTTCCAATCAAGCATTCCTGATTGTATCGATGTGTACACAACCTTGAAAATAATCAGCTCTGTCTCTAACCAAATGAATAGACATAGTCGACTGGATTACTACTACCGTGATAACATGTAGGTTGTTGTCTGTTCTGTTGTGCATGCCAATGTGCTTAGTAGTACTGTACTCTACTGTATGTTGGTGCATTACAAAAAAAGTACTTCTTACTAACTGCTTCTCCCTCACCTTCGACTCTTTGAGAATTGGTGTTTACACATGTTTTAACATTTAGCTGGGGTCAGCATGTCATTGTGTCCCTGGGCAAGACACTTCACCCCAAATTGCTCCTGTGGGGATTGCCCACAGTATTGAGTATGTAAGTCGCTTTGGATAAAAGCGTCTAACAAGTAACATGTAATGTAATGTAGCTCATTAGCACGCTCACCATGTTTTTTCCCAAACGCCAGCTTATATTGGTCTCCAATCAGACAACAACAGTTGGATGTTAAATGAGGCGATGTACAGGACACGACAGGCTTCTCCTACAGTTTAGGCAAACCCCCATCACATCACCAAGGTAACTGACCATACACTCTGCCATCCCTATCATATGGAAAATCTTTCACGTCCAACCTGCAGCTCAGGCTCCAGGCACTGAGTTGGTTGTGTTCAGCTACGAGCTAGAAAAAAAAGAAAACAAATCTAAAACATAAGATGTATTTCCTAAGGGAACAAGGTTAGGAAAATAAAATAATTTAAAAAACTGATATTTAAACCCTTAAACAAAATTTAATTCCCAAATGCATCCGGTGTGTTAGACACACTATTCAGAAAAGCATTCAGAAAAGCAAGATTTCATCTCATAATTACTAATGTGTTGCATCAGCAAACATTAACCTTGAAAAATGATTATGCTTAGACTTTCACTACTTTAATATCACAAATAATAGTAACACTTTTTAAAATGTTTGTAAATTAGAAGTAATTATAATAACATTATAACTAATACAAATGCTAGAAGTTACTGTAAACACAACTGAATTAAAAGTGTCATCAAAATAAAGTAACAGGTTTACTGTCCAACTAGTTAAAGTAGCCACTCTCGTTGGTATAAATGCAGGTTAACTATAATTGGATCAAAATGTGAGGAGCAGACTTCCAATGACCAAAACTGCTAGTAATAGCTCTCGCCAATGTGTTAGCTACATCTGCATGCCCAAAGGCAAAATACAAAAGACCCTCATGAAAAGGTGTAAACAACACACTGGTAACAGAGGCAATTGCTAAAAGGTAAAAAATGGCAGCATATGTTTTGTCCTTCTGGCTATGAATTATGGAGCAGCTTCCTGTCGTCTTCACTTAAGCAGTGGCAGTTGGGCTCTCCTCTGGCATGTAGCCTCGCAGTACAGCACTGTAAAACTCTTATACCAGCCACATAACTAAGATGGACACCGCAAGAGAGAGAGAGTAAGAGGTAGAGTAAGAAACAAAACTGAGAGGCAAAGCACCCCTAACAGCCAGTGGAGGCAATTCTACAATGGGCGATTGAGCTGATCACAAAGCAAACAACTAAATTCAGGGATCAATTCTTGTCATTCTGCAAAAAATGTGTTTATAAAAAAGGTGCCTTTAAAATGACTGAACTCACAATGGCCAAAGTCAAATGACAACCTGCACACATGTTTGGACACAAGAAAGGTGAACTCACACAGAGCAGCACAGGAATAAATGTTTCTTTATCTGTTGAATAGTGAGGCTGCCTATGGCTGAACCAGGGTCTGAATAAGAGATGATTTTCCCCTTAGGGACGGCTCACTGCTGTGGTATTAGCATACCAACACCGTGCTGTGTTTAATAGGCTGCTCTCCCCTGCTTTGTGAACACACACGCACA